ATAGTTAAAGTATTGATTTTTTTTAAAAAATATTAATTTGCCTAGCCACTACCTATATTATTTGTGATTATAATCAGATAAAATTATATATACTTATTATTATATAGTTCTTAAAAAATCATGTGATAGTGATTATCATATTAATATGATTATAAATAGGGAAATTAAACTAAAAAAAATGGGTCTAAAAATTTTTGTGACTTTATTAAGGTTGTGATTATAGCTAGAGAGACTATAGCCAGGGTTGACTGTAATAATAATAATTATAAAATATGCATGTATATATTCGAATTCACACTACTAAATCAATTTAAATACCATTTTACTTACTACATGTTTATATATATATACACTTTAGATAGTTTTAAAAACGGATCTCTTGCAATATAGATGATATCTATTCTAAATTATTTGATTAATTATACTTTTCTATTAATAGCCTTACCCATACTGCAAGAGATCCTTAAAAATATATATTTGGTATTACCCTAGTGAAATATGATTAATTAAACAGAATGTTAGAAACTGTATTTCAAAAAGAATAATGACAACAGTGATTTTATTTTTGATTTTAAAATAAAGGCAATTATAAAAGATAAATGCCAAATAAAATAAATTACTAATGTTGATACTTTGAATTAGGCCATTCATTAATAAATTTTCATTGTAAATTAAAAAATAAAAAGTTTATAAAAACTAAAAATAAAATTGATAAATATTATTATTGGCTGCTTCGCATCCAATAACTATATATTATTCTAATTAAAAGTTATAAAGCTTTTTGTTATCATATTATTAAAATCGTTCAATAAAATTATTGGACATATAACCAATAATGTTACAATTTATTTGGATATTGTCCAATGCCTAAAGGTCCAAAAAATTATTTGGACATTTAGACTATGTAAAATGTCCAAATGTCAAATTATTTAATTAAATTTATTTGGACATTGTCCAATGCTAACTCTGATTATCTATTCTTTAATTTTAATACATAATACATATTTTAAAGATATCTATAAACTATAAATTACATATATCAATATGCATAAATATATTTGCTCTACAAGCACTTTTTTTATAATGATAAGTACATATAATTTGATCAGCTAATGTAATTATTTATATAATATGTAACTTATTCTTCATAACAATAAATGAATATTCTATAAATGCACTTTACCCATAACGTGTATTTTATGGAAGCTTGGCTGTATTGGATTTAGAAAGACTTTCCTCCCGCACCTTTGTCTAAATTAAGGCGTCCGCCTGAAATATTGCCTTCTATCACTCCTTCAATAACACTACCTTCGGGATATCTGAAACTTGATGATAATCGAATGACTGATGTTAACATGAGTACGCATCTATAGCATATCATAGTATAATGGATATATATGGTAATAACTATAGTTATTAGACGAAACCTTTTTTGCTTGATGACGAAAGTCGAAACCTAAGCTCTAAATGACGAAACGTCTGTCGAAAGTCGAAACCTAAAATCCTTCTGACAAAAATTGAAACTCTCAAATCCTCTGACGAAAGTCGAAACCCAAACTTAAAGTGATGAAACCCTAGTCTCACGCTAAAAAAAAAAAAAAAAAAAAAAAAAAGTGAAGGTTAG